GGAGATTGAGAAAGAGAAGGTCAGAGAGAGAGACAGACAGATAGACAGGGAAACGCTGGAGTTAGAGATGTAGACAAGCAAGAGAAAAAACAGACAGGCAGACAGACAGACAGACAGAGAGACAGACAGACATACAGACGGAGAGGAGAGTGTGCTGGACATCACGACCAACGCAGAAAGACGGCAAGAAAGCAGCACAAACTTGAAGAAAAAAAAGCATAGATTTAAATTACAAAGGATTGTCTGAAGGTCGAGTGTATAGCATTTAAAAAACGATATTAAATTCACAACAATATACAATTCAAGCAATATCATATTTTAAACCTATACATCTGATTGAAAACAATACCAGATTATAAAACATTCGTTTGAAATCAATAGAGAATTAAACGAAATGTTAAATTCAAAACAATATTCGCGATCGAGTGAAAATAACGGACTGTAACTTTAATTAAACAACGAAATGTCTTATCTGCATGTTTGTATATCTGTTAATATGAATATTAGGCCACGAACAAAAACTTTGCACATTGTCCTATCTCGTCCTAGCGTCTTGAAAAAATTCTCCGTGCATGTGACTCTTCTCCAGATTTTACACCGCCTTCCTATTGATCTCTTAATAGTCTTAACCTAGGGATTCCAATCCAACACTTTCTTTGCTACGCAGCTGCCTAACTTCCTGCTCTTCCCACATCATATACGACTAGGCTTTGTCTTGTTCTCCTTATCACTTCCTCCTCGTCGGTGACCCTGTCTATCCATCTCATCTTGAGTGACTTTCTCAGATATTTGTTATATAGTGTGGCGTCCGTAGTCTAGTGGTTGGGCTACCGGATTGGTGACGTTACGGGTTCGAAAGTTTGAGCCGCAGGCCCGACGTTGTGTCCTTGGGAAAGGCTCTTTACAAGAAATTTTCCCCACTTCACCCAGTTGAGAATGGGTACCCAGCCATAGACAAAAAAAGATCATGTCATTATATTAGTGTTCTAGTGCCTATAAAAAATGGCAGCTTGCGCTGTATGTTTCCCTGGACGTTGAGATTGTTTCAGAATGCTATCAGGTCTACTGGGGCAATAACATCATAGATTGCAAAGCACACAGAACTTGCTGTTGAGCTGGGATTTGCTCTATATTAATGCTGTCTGTCTGTCTGTCTGTCTGTCTATCTGTCTGTCTGTCAGTCTGCCTCTCTAAACACACACACACACACACACACACACA